TTATGAAAATTTGTTATTCCTTCTCTGCTAAATTTTGATTCATCGGTCCATAAAATTCTTGTTAAAAATGAAGCATCCTCAATATCCGCATGGAGAATAAATCTGCAGAATTGAACTCTGCGCGCCGGATCACCCTCGTCTAGTCCTTGCACAGGAGTGTGATGAAATGGGTGAAGACCATTTTGATGAATCACTGACCAGACCTTCCATTGTGAAACACCCAGCTGTCGGGAAATTTTTCTGGTGCTTGTTGTTGGACCTTCTTCAAGTAGTCTCAAAATTTCACCATCAATGTTAACGTCTGCAGGAGGAGCTCCTACGCGTTCTACTCGTTGAAGGCTGCCAGATTCTGAAATGCGACGGTAAGTTGCACCAAACACACTAACATGTGGAATGCGCCTATTTGGGAAGCGACGTACATATTCTCTTTGAGCTTCAGCTGCATTTCCATTGGAAAAACCATAAATAAATAAAATGTCCGCATATTCAGCATAGCTAAACGTTGCCATTTTAGATAGAAGTTAACAGCGAAAGACTATCATCAGAACTATTTAAATCAAAACTTTGGACGAAAAACTGAAACTAAATTTTGTTATTGTTTATTATTATTAATTCAAAAAATGGAAAAATGCGTATGGTATACCTGTTGATAAATATCAACATGATTGGCGAGTATCACACCAAATTGCAATAAGAAAAGACTGGAAAATAATGTTGCTTACTTAGTCTGAACTTACAATTCTTCTAAATGCGAGAATAAAACCGTTACTCCTACAAATGAAAATTATGAAATCAACAATAAAACAACCTTATTTTAAAGACAATAAAATAGAGAATTTTTAACAATCATTTGTACGTTTGGTGGACTAAAGTGCGTTTTTTTTTTTAAAGATAAAAGTCAAACTGACATTATGTTGGCAATACAATGTAAAATTGTCAATGCTTTCAAATTTTTCATGTAGAAAAGGCTTGTGTTGCCAACATAGTTACTAAATTTTTGACTTGGGGAATTATCTTTTAAAAAAAAACACACTTTATGAAGTTTTCGAAATTTTTCAGCATAAAGAAACCATTAATTCGCAGAATTCAGTTCTGCAGATTTATTCTGAATTCGGATGTTGAGGATGCTACAATATTAGAGAAGGAATAACAAATTTTGATTTTTTACCTGATAACCTTAACGGTGAAAATTATGAAGAATTTTCACGTAACAACTTGTATGAGCTACTACAAGATGTCCCTTTAGCGAACAGGCAAACAGATGATCTTCCAGCTTGACGGATGTCCTGCACACTATCGTCTAACAATAAGGGCACTCTTAGACCAAAGGATTCCGAATAGATGGATTGGAAGAGGTGGACCCATACCATGGCCTGTTAGGAGCCCTGATTTAACTCCTGTTGCGATATTGCGACAGAACTTTTCAAATCGAGTAACCAGGACAGAAATACGAAGACGGGCTCGTAATTGCATAAGGAATGGGGTTAGTCATTTTGAAAATTAATGAGTTATTGATTAAATTGTATCAAAAAGTTTTTCCATTTCATTTTGAGAATGTTGTTTTTTTTATTATGATAGGAAATACATTTTTTCAAATGGTAATTATTGTTTTATTATGGAACGAAAAAATTAGGTGCCAATTGTGAACTATTTGAAAGAGAATGCATTCAACAATGCTTGGCCATAGAGTGCCAGTAATTTATTATGAAAATTTCAAAATTTTCAAGCAGAAAATAATAATTATTTCTTTACTAAAAACTATTACTATTAGCTACTAAAAAATTTGATAAAATTTTTATTGCAACACTTGATATCCAAAACAGGTATAAATTAGAATTCTGTTGAAAATTATATCGTCTCTCCTTAAAATAAAAATAATTTATTTAACAAGAAAGCAAAAAGCTAATTCTGAAATAATGTACCTTATCTTGGAGACAATAAAATGGAGTACTTTTGCCAATTATTTGTACGTTTGAAGTACTATGAAATTTTCGATATTTTTAGGGTTAAATAAGTCATTAGTTAGAAACTTAACAAGAAAAGTTAAGTTTAAACCGCAATAACTCAATAGTTAACATTAGTGTTTCGATAATTTTCAATGCTGATATTTTTGTCAGTGTGTCAGCTTAAAATTTAAAACACGACTTTCAGAAAGGTCCTTGTTATTTTCGTTAATTTTAAATATTTGCCTCATAAGGTAGTGAATTTTATAAAAATTAGAAAAATGAAAATATCGCGAAAACCGTTAAGAATGGTATAGAGGTAAATAGTGTTTAATCAGTAGCAAATAGGCTCTAATGTCATCTCCTCAAAGGAATACGTCCACTTACCAGTCACCCTGTATATATATATATATATATATATATATATATATATATATATATATATATATATATATATATATATATATATATATATATATATATATATATATATATATATATATATATATATATATATATATATTTAGATTTTTGTAGTTTATTGGTTTTAGGTCATAATAAAACAGCAGAGAGTTTTATGTAGATTATAATAAGTTTAACGTTTCGACCATGGTTTGGTCTTTTTCAAAAACTGAAAAGTAGGAAAATACACATACAAAATCATACAAAAATATTTAAAAAAATCTGTACCTTAGAAAGTAGATTTATCCAAACATTTAAACACTTTAAAAACATCAAACAACATCACGATATTTTTTTTTTTTTTTAATTTAAAAAGGTTTCACACGTAGGTAAACATATACAAGACAGGACAGTACTGTGTGTGCACGAGTTTATAGTAGACTGGAATATATTTTCGAGAGGTTGTCTATATCAGTCTTATCGTTAATTGCATTTTTGTGTTTTTTTATGCATACCATTTCAAGGAATTCTCAAATGCCAATATTTCAGCATTATTATAGCCGAAGGTGTGATTTTTTGATTTTTCATGGGATGACAAAGCAGTGGAATTTTTTTTATCGTATTTGTGACTCTTTATACGGTTTTCCAGATATTGACTTGTTTGACCACAATTTTCGCATGGTATTTTATACACAATATTACTCTTTTTGTTATTAGGGGTTTTTGTCTTTAGTTTGCTGAAATTACTTGTTAATAGGTAATATCCTTTACGGCATACATTAATTTTATATTTCTTAAATAAGTTTTGTAGCTGTTGTGATAAGTCTTTAACATAAGGTAGAGAGAGATAGCCCTTTTTTTTGTTGTTATCCTGGAGTTTGTGGATTTTTTCAGTAGAGTTGTAATATTTATGAATTCTGTTCTTGAAAATTTTATTTATCAGGTTTAAAGGATAGTCGTTTTCCTGCAAAGCTAATTTTGCCTTTTCAATACCTTGTTTCCTGTATTCAGGATCAGACAGTTCAATGACCCGATCTGCCAGTCCTATAATGACTGATTTTTTTTGGGTCATAGGGTGACATGAGTTGAAGTTCAGGTATCTGGATGACCACGTCGGTTTTGTATACCATTCTGTTAATATTTTTTCATCAAAATGGTGAAGAGTTATGTCGAGAAAATTGATCTTTTTATTGTCTTCAACTTCCAGAGTAAATTGTAATTTTTTATGAAATTCATTAAACTTATTTAGAATTGTCTGTGCCTGGTTTTCAGGCACGGCAGTGATACAATCATCGACGTATCTGAAATAGAAAGGCAAGGAAAAATCCAACTTTTTTATTACTGTCTCTTCTAAATCCTCAAGTACCATTTGAGCAATGACACTTGCAAAAAATCGTTTTGGTTAATAACATTTTTGAGAATTTCAGTTAAAAATTTTGATAATGGCTCAAAGGGTGATTGAATACAGAATACAATTGGTCTTAGAGGTATCTCTTCCTTATGTAGCTTTGGTAGTCCATAAATTTTAGGAGGAACACCATTTCGGATTTGTAATTTTTTTGCTACAGTTGGTGAGATATATAATTTTTTTTCCCAGGTGAAAACAAACTATTCAAACAGGTTGACGGATGTGCCATGGGATCATCAATATCAAGTGTCATTGCTCAAATGGTACTTGAGGATTTAGAAGAGACAGTAATAAAAAAGTTGGATTTTTCCTTGCCTCTCTTTATCAGATACGTCGATGATTGTATCACTGCCGTGCCTGAAAACCAGGCACAGACAATTCTAAATAAGTTTAATGAATTTCATAAAAAATTACAATTTACTCTGGAAGTTGAAGACAATAAAAAGATCAATTTTCTCGACATAACTCTTCACCATTTTGATGAAAAAATATTAACAGAATGGTATACAAAACCGACGTGGTCATCCAGATACCTGAACTTCAACTCATGTCACCCTATAACCCAAAAAAAATCAGTCATTATAGGACTGGCAGATCGGGTCATTGAACTGTCTGATCCTGAATACAGGAAACAAGGTATTGAAAAGGCAAAATTAGCTTTGCAGGAAAACGACTATCCTTTAAACCTGATAAATAAAATTTTCAAGAACAGAATTCATAAATATTACAACTCCACTGAAAAAATCCACAAACTCCAGGATAACAACAAAAAAAACGGGTATCTCTCTCTACCTTATTTTAAAGGCTTATCACAACAGCTACAAAACTTATTTAAGAAATATAAAATTAATGTATGCCGTAAAGGATATTACCTATTAACAAGTAATTTCAGCAAACTAAAGACAAAAACCCCTAATAACAAAAAGAGTAATATTGTGTATAAAATACCATGCGAAAATTGTGACTCCGTGTATATTGGTCAAACAAGTCAATATCTGGAAAACCGTATAAAGAGTCACAAATACGATAAAAAAAAATCCACTGCTTTGTCATCCCATGAAAAATCAAAAAATCACACCTTCGGCTATAATAATGTTGAAATATTGGCATTTGAACCTAATTTAAAAAAAAGAGAATTCCTTGAAATGGTATGCATAAAAAAACACAAAAATGCAATTAACGATAAGACTGATATAGACAACCTCTCGAAAATAAATTCCAGTCTACTATAAACTCGTGCACACACAGTACTGTCCTTTCTTATATATGTTTACCTACGTGTGAAACCTTTTGAATTTAAAAAAAAAAAAAAAATATATCGTGATGTTGCTTGATGTTTTTTAAAGTGTTTAAATTTTTGGATAAATCTACTTTCTAAGGTAAAGATTTTTTAAATATTTTTTATGATTTTGTATGTGTATTTTCCTACTTTTCAGTTTTTGAAAAAGACCAAACCATGGTCAAAACGTTAAACTTATTATAATCTACAATAAAACTCTCTGCTGTTTTATTATGACCTAAAACCAATAAACTACAAAAATCTAAATATATATATATATATATATATATATATATATCTTGATGATCATGTTCCTCAAACCTCCAAAAGGCGTAGAAACTATCCACCGTGGTTCTCTCCGCAAATAATAAAATTAATAAAACAAAAACATGGTGCCTGGAAAAAGTATAAACGCTTCAGGAGTCAGCAGAATTTGGATTCTTTTCGAGAAATGCGGTCCCAGTTGAAAAAAGACATTTATCTTTCTTACAAAAACTACTGCTCAGATCTTGAAGTAAATATTGGCTTAAATCCAACCCATTTCTGGAAGTTCATTCAGAGCTCACAAAAAAATAATTCTCTACCAAAAAACTTCACAGATCAAACGGGCTCACTTTTGTCAGACCCACAAAAAATTACTGAAGCGTTTGCGCAATTCTTTCAGAGCTTTTACACAACCCCGACCATTCAACCCTTAAAGCAGATAGATCCAAAAACCACACTAACAGATACCATTAATATTGACTGCATAACAGAAGAGCAAGTTCTAAGGGCTTTGAAAGGCATTAAGCCCAAGGCAACTGTGGGGCCTGATAAGATTCCTGCGTTTCTTATATCTGATTGTGCCGATGTCTTTGTTGAACCCCTTACGATATTATTTAATCTTTCTTTGAAATACGAAGAATTTCCCTACTTGTGGAAACAATCCAAGATCATACCAGTTCATAAAAAGAATGACAAAAGTCTCATTGAAAACTATCGTCCGATCACAATTATTAACAACTTCTCAGAATGTTTTGAGCGCGTTCTTCATACTGCCCTTTACTTCCCTATGAGAGATCTCATAGATACTCGTCAGCATGGCTTTATGCGAGGCAGATCCACTACTTCTAACCTCATTACAATTACTGAATATATTTCTGATGCAATTAACTCAAGCTCACAGGTTGACGTTATCTATACAGATTTCTCTAAAGCCTTCGATAGACTGGACCATGGCATTCTCGTCGAAAATCTACATAATCATTATGGTTTCTCTTCGCGCCTTATTAATATATGTAAATCTTACCTCGGTGAGAGCGAGCACGTTGAATGCTTTGGTCGTAGTTCTTCAAAAATCATTGCCTCATCTGGTGTTCCACAAGGCTCCATTCTGGGTCCACTCTTCTGTAACTCTTTTATCAATGAAATATCCGAGAATCTTAATGTCAAAAGTCTGTTATATTGTGATGATATGAAACTGTACTGTAGGGTGGACAGCATATCTGACTGCATTCAACTTCAAGCCGATCTAACTTTAGTAAACCAATGGTGTAAAAATAACAATCTGCCACTCAGTGCTGTATAGTTTCATATTCTCTCAAAAAAAATCCCATTGAATTTAATTATAACATCGATAATTCTTCTCTACCCAGATCACACTCTTTTAAAGATCTAGGGGTGACCTTTGACACTTCTCTGTCATTTCTTCCTCACATTTCCGATATAATAAAAAGAAGTTACAGAATGCTAGGCTTTATAATAAGAAATTCTAAGGCTTTTAATAGCATTTATAGTCTCAAAATATTATACTTTTCATATGTTCGTTCTATTCTAGAATATGCTTCCCAAGTCTGGTCACCCCACCATCAAATTCATATCCACGCTCTAGAAAATATCCGAAGGAGATTTCTAAAATATCTCTGGTTTCGTTGTGAGGGAGTGTACCCGGAAATCGGTTTTCCTTATGAGCGTCTACTTGAAAACTTTTCTACGAGGATATTAGTTGAGAGAAGGCAGTCGGCTGATATACAATTTTTATTCAAATTAGTGAACGGTAAAATAGACTCTCCTGAGCTCTTAGAACAACTCAACTTTCATATACCTCGGATATCATCAAGAAATCCACAAACCTTTTATTTAGCAAAACCGAGAATTGATATAGGAAAATTCTCTCCTCTGCGCAGAGCATGCAACATGTATAATTCTGTTCAGGATCAGTGCGACATTTTTAACTGTAGTCTATCAGAAATTAAAAACGTGCGCTTAGCTCAGACATAATTGTTCTTTCCTGTATTTTTTTTTGTATCTTACTTTGCTTTTTTAATATGTATTTATTTTAGTAGATATTTAGTTAGTATTTATAGCTGTAAGTTTTCCCACTCAATAATTGGATGTATTTCTGTGAAGTGGTGTAAATAAAATAAAATAAAATAAAATAAAATAAAATAAAATTATATTCAGCGTCTATTGGAATATCCTTCAGTTTTTAATATTTCCAGAAACATTCTTTTCGTTATTGACAATAACTATACCTAAATGTTAATTGATATATGAATACGTCCAGTGTCCAGTATAGTGGACTGGAGGGATATTTCAGTTACGATTATTAAAATATCCCGACATCCAATATAATGGACATTCACTTACAGCTGTCAAATTCACAGATGTCTTGAATTGGATGTCTAAACAATGTATCTGTATAATAAATAAATTTTAAATTCTATTATTTGCTTTTCGGCCCAGGGAGAAGTTCATTTAATTTACCGTAGCACTCAACCTTGTTGAAAAAATTGTGAAAATAGTACAATACTAGCGATATTTAAAATAATATTCTCTAAATTGATATGATATATCGATATATCTATCTTGTTTTGCTCAATTGAAATCGAAAATCTTAATGAGAAAAGTTAAGCTTAAATGTTAACATAAATAACCAAAATTATAAAGAGTATTAAACAATATAACATATAACAAAAACTCACCTGATAAGAAGTACACAAAACCCACCAAAATATATCATAGGCAATGAAGGAGACGCTATCATTTTCAAGTACTCTGGAACGCAATAACTTATGTAGGGAGATAGCTTTTATAAAAATTTAGATGGATTTGAACAAAATAATACTAACAATATTTTTATTGAAGGGGGCACTTTTTTCAGTACTTTCAAATCTTCAATTTCAAATGAAAACGAAGCTACGTCAATAAAGAAACCAGTTAAAAAGATTTTGTGTTATTGTGTTACTAAACAGAAAAATTATGAATTATTGATACCTACACACGGTTTAGACATAAAACAAAGTTAATGAGGACAATAAATTGGTTTTATCTACAAGCGTTTGGTTATGACCTTTTTTACATAACTATTTTTCTAGTATTTGAGTTGTGTTATGAGACTCATAACACAACTAGTGGTGTTATAGACGAGGTTATGAGTCTATAACACAACTATTTTTGTTGATTTGACAAATGTCAAAGGTAAACCTGTAAAGGTAAAATGAAGGTAGACAACTATTAATGAACGAAAATAATTGGAAAAATATTCTTATTTTTCGCTTTGTAGATAAAACGTTGTACATCACACGTGCGTTTAAACATGACTACAAAACTCGTGTGATTAGAAAGACTCGGTCTACGACCTCGTCGTTCTAATCCTTCACACTCGTTATTGTAATCATGCTCATAAACGCACTTGTAATGTAAATAACTATTATTGCTGTTTTGTACTCATAAGTTTGGACTAGTATATTTTTCCAATTTTTGAAAAGTTAGTTGAAACCTACAATTTGCTTTTATGTTAAAAACTATAATATTATTGATAGCAGCATAAATACATAATAGGAAATACATACTTACATTTTTGGAAAAATAAAATATTTTAAGGTAAAAATATTCTCATATAAAATAATCACTAGCAATAAGTCAAAATACTTTTATATATGATTTTTTATTCGATAACGGTGGCATGTGGCATGACATGCGAATATCGCAGATAATAATTTATCGCAAATGTGTTTTGTTTGATTTGTGAATGATAAACGGTTATCTCTTGGAATGATTGGAATATTTTTCCAAAATTGGAAATACCAAACAATAAAGCAATCAATAATTTCGTAATTGGATTTTGCAATACAAGTTTACCTGGAAAACCCCTGATGACATAACGTTTCAACTTACTGTTGACATTTTACTACATCACACAAGGAAAACGACAAGATGTTGAAAAGGTATAAGAATATTTAACAGCTCTATGAAAATTATCTACAACATGCAATTTTGAAAACTAGAAACTAGGTAGGTATTTATGGAAAACTTACAGTTTGCTTTTGGTCTTCGGTCACAAGATATTTAGAGTCCATTATTAGAAATTAAAAAACTAACTCTGGAAAATGCTTTAGCCATTGCCAAAAGCATAGAAATGTCTACAAGAGATTCTGCTGAATTACATGACTCCAAAGATTTGAATCAGCTGAATCAAATGTTAAGAAGAATATGTATTTGCATACCCAAAATTTCTCTGGTATTTCTAAGCAAAACCATATACCTAATAAAAAACTTTTATGTTTTTCATTTTACAACAAAAGGATTTAAACCTAGTAATTTTTTGCAAATCTAATATACTTACATGTCCAATTTAATCTATGGCTGGATAATAATAAATCAACGAAAATACCTCATTCAATAACAGGTTTACCGGAGTCGTTAATTTTTAATGTTTGACAGAGAAATTAGAAGTAGATGAGATTCGTTAAAACCTGAGAACTTAAGAAAATTTGAAAACTTACTACTTACCTTCATAGTCCATTATCATAGGGTCCGCTCGCTTCGATCTCGTGCTAAGTTTAAAAATGCATTATTTTATGAAAATATGGAACTACTTGATTACCAAATGGTATGTTGGCATTTCTGTAAATTATTTTTTTTCCGAAAAACAGCCACTTCAAGATCGCGGATGGAGCAATTTTTGAAAAATTCGTATCTTCATTATTATTTGATCAATTTTCTATTTCAAAAAAAGAAATTACTTGGAAAAGTCTATAATTTATTAAAAAAATTGTTTCAACCACACATATTCAATAATAAAAGAAAGTTTCCCCAAAAATTGAAAAAAAAAAAGATTTTTTTTTTAATTATTTTTTTTTTAACCATTTTTCTTTCTATAATTATAAATTATAAAGAAAAAAGTTTCAGATAAAAAATGCTCAGAATTTTCTGCTGAATCGAATGATATATAATTTATTAGAGGTTGTTCAGTAGATACTACTGAAAAGTGAGTTACCAAGTAAGAAATCGAGGGTTGGTTTTGAAAAAATTACTTTTTCTACAAACGTATTAAAAATGAAATTTTTAACACCCCCCCGAAGCATTAAAAATGTTACTTTATCGCACTAGTGCCATAAAGTCTTTATAGCATTAGTGTTAAAAATGAAACATCAAAATTTGAGAGCGAACGTCAAAAAAAGTTTGTATTTTTAGTTATTTACATTGATATTAATGGTGAAATTTGAACAACTGAGGTAGCCCGATTGGCCGCCTCATCTATATTTTTCAAGGGATCGATGCAACCCCCTTTTTCTTCTGTATTTTGTTCCATTTTAAGCAAAAAGCATTACTGACCACGACAGACTTTCAAGAAACTGACAAGACATTTCATCATCCTGTAAAACAAGGTGCTGGTTGTTTGGACTTGACAAATGTCAAATTCAATAATTTTATGTAGGAAAGGTGCTTCCAATTTATTATTCATTTCAAAATCCAATTTGTTACTGGTTATTGCTTTTTATTTCCGTTTGTAGAAAAAATATTGTATGATATTTGTGTTAAAAGTATTTTTAAGGCACTTATGTGAATTGCAGAATTCGCTTCGCTCATTCTGTAAACTTTCACATGCGTGCCTTAAAAATGTACTTTTAACACTTATATCATAAATAACTATTATTAACAATCCGAAAATTTATACTAGCGAAAGCACGTTACAATAAATGTTACAATTATAATTAATTTCAACTGACTGACTATCCTAGGAAAAAACATACATTTATAATAAACTGAAAAGAGAAATAAGCCTTTGGCATTTTTGTAAATAATTTTTTTCCGAAAAACAGCTACTTCAAAATCACGGATGGAACAATTTTTCAAAAAATTCGTATCTCCGTTATTAATTGTTCAATTTCTTATTTCAAAAGATGGATTACTTGGAAAAGTCTATATTTTAATAGAAAAAATGTTTTTACTACAAATATTTAATATTAAAAGAAAATTTCGACAAAAATTTAAAAAAAAACATATACTTTTTTTTTAAATTATTATTTTTTAACCATCTTTCTTTCTATAATTAAAGATATATGCTGTGCCAACAGTGTATAATAACAAGTGTTCCAAAATGACATTTGGCAATTGATTCCTAATAACATATTTGCAATCAATACATGAAAAAATCAATAACCTATACCCTGATACATTATTAGAACCCAATAACGGGAAATAAATAAACTTCACATAAAATCTAATAATATCACAAACATTCTCATATTTCTTTTAAAAGAAGACAGAATAAAATTGATACAAAAATGAAAATATTCCTCAGCCACAGAGAAACAAAAGGAATAAATTAATGACTTGGCTCAATATTCGAATCTCTAACTGGAAACCTGGACGCATCTGACGGAGAACGTCACAAGCACATCATTAGGGAATTACAAAACAATAAAAATAGTTTACAAGAAAATATTCTGAAACAATACTCGCTTTCTTTAAAAGTAATAGAAAAATTTAACTAAATTATTAAACAAATAAATATCAACGAACAACTTCTAGAATAAAAAATTAACCAAATTGCACATATTATGGCACAGAAGGCAGACATAATAAATCAAATAGGTACCTAGTCAATATCTATGAGATAATCGACTCTATTTTACAAGATATAGAAAATTCCTTAACTTTTTCAAAATTGAAAGTCATGCATCCAGGTATAATAAAAACTGAGTGCCATGATTATCCTAAAATTACTCTACATACTTTACTTAATTTCAGAAAAATACAAACTCAATTTTATCTTTGTAAACTTTTTTGACAGAGGGCTGTAAACTTCATTACTTCAGTATTTTTCCCCTAGCTCAAAAACTAGAATAGGAACATATCACTTTCATAACAATACTAAATGCAGTATTTTGAAGCGAATCCAACGATGTAATACATGATGGCGCCTCCAGGATCAAAATATTCCGGAGGTAAAATACCCGACCACTCGGATCTCCGGGCGTCGGGTGATCCTGGGGGTCCTTCATGCAAAGATATAAAGAGAAGATCAAAAACTCAACTCAGAATTGATTTTAGCAATATAAGAGGAATAAGTACAAATATGAATTCAGTTCACCAACATCTTGAAGAACAAAGACCTGACATCCTTGTTCTCAGTGAAACTAAAATCAGTTCTGCAACACCTATTGTGAACTATCTTTATCCCGGCTATGACCTACACCACCGATTTCGACATAATTTTGGGATCTGTGTGTACATTAAAAATGACCTTTCATGTCATCGAGAGGAGAAGCTAGAACCAGCGAACCTTGATATCATATGGCTAAAATTCACCTCAAAGTCATCGACCAAGTTTATCTGCTGCCTCTACCGACCGCCAAGTAACACCGATTACCAAAACTTTTTCACGACATTATCCGAAAGCTGTGATAGTATACAGTCAAACTATCCACAGGCGGAAATTGTCTTTTTAGGCGATTTCAACGTCCACAATATACCCTTGCTGAAACACCACAACAAAACAGATAACGAAGGCAGAGAAGCAGAAGCTTTTGCCATAAGTTGTGGTCTAACGCAGCTTGTCGATGAACCTACCCGTATCTCAGAAAGGGGCGAATTTGCAGCGCTTTTAGACTTGTTCCTAACCACCAATCCTGACTCGTACACAATTCAAGTAGATGCTCCACTTGGTTCGTCCGATCATAAACTTATAATAACAAAGTGCGAAATGCTCATCCCACCAAGCCTACAACCACTTCCTCGTAAAATGTGGCACTATAAATCGGCAAAATGGAATGACCTAAAACAGTATTACCTGGATTTTCCATGGCAAGAGGTTTGCTTTAAAACAGCTGATCCCACTATTTGCTGTAATGAAATAACACAAGTAATCTTATCTGGAATGGACGCATATATCCCACATACAACTAAACGTAGAGCTAATGCAAAACCTTGGTTCAACAGCCAGTGTCAAACGGCTGTACAGAAAAAACACAGAGCATATAACCTTTGGAAACGACAACAAACCGCTCAAAACCACACAGAATTTATAGAAGCCAGAAATAGTTGCAAAATTACTATCGACTCCGCTAAAGAAACATACAATCAAAGAATAAAAAACAGGTTGCTGAATTGTCCAAGTAGTTCTAGGTCTTTTTGGTCTCTTGCAAAAGCTGTTGGATCTAACTTCACCAAGTCATCCATACCACCACTTACAGATAAAAATAATCACTTAGCCACAACATCAGAGGAAAAAGCCAATATGCTTGCCCAAATGTTTTCCTCCAACTCCAACCTAACAGTGCCAAACGGAAAAACTCCACCGTTCATTGAAAGGGTTTCCCATAGTATGCCAGAGGTACCCTTTTGTCACAGAGAAATACGAAAATCCCTAAAAAAGCTGGATACAAACAAAGCAATGGGTCCGGATGGCATTCCCGCAATAGTACTTAAAAATTGCGCCAACGAACTCACCCCAACTTTCGCAAAATTATTCAATTTGTCTTACAGGCAAGGAGTATATCCATCATCATGGAAGTCTGCCGCAGTACAACCCATTCCAAAGAAAGGAAAAAAGACAGATCCATTAACTATAGACCAATTGCTCTACTTCCGGTGATATCAAAAGTAATGGAAAGAGTTGTGAACAATCACCTAACCAAGTACTTGGAAAAGTACAAAATTATCAACGATAAGCAATACGGATTTCGAAAATATAGGTCAACTGGCGATTTACTTACATACGTCACTCACTTATGGCAAAAAGCGATTGAGTTGCGGGGTGAAACAAGAACAATTGCCTTAGATATATCTAAAGCATTCGACAAAGTTTGGCATGAAAATCTGCTCAACAAGCTCAAAGCAATGGGATTATCGCCGAAACTTTGCACTTGGTTTGAAAGTTACCTAAAGGACAGATCCATTTATGTTGCACTGGATGGCCAGAACTCCAACTCTTACCAAATAAATGCTGGTGTGCCACAGGGAGCAATCCTTTCGCCAACTCTTTTCCTGATTTACATAAATGACCTCATAGATAAAACAGTAAATCCACTTTATTGCTTTGCAGACGATGGCAATGTAGTCTCCTCACTCAAACCACCCACAGGTCCTTCCGCACGTGAATTCCATCATCTTAGACTAACTCAAATATCGCAGATAAATAACGACCTGGAGATAATAGAGGACTGGGGTAACAAAAACCTTGTACAGTTCAACGCGCAGAAAACCCAAGCAGCTCTGTTTTCAAAAAAGAACAGCACCGGTGAGCCAAACATCATGCTATCTGGAAGTGCGGTCACATTACAGAGTCAGTTGAACATCTTGGGGGTTACTGCAGAGACCAACATGTCTTGGCACAGTCACGTGGCAGATATTGCTAAAAGGGCTTCCCAAAAGCTGGGGGTGCTATTTCGTACAAGACATCTGTACACACCAAGCCAATTGCTGACACTCTACAAAGCCCAGATTCGACCAACTATGGAGTACTGCTCACATATATGGAGTGCAGCACCCAAACATACCTTAATGCTTTTGAATACCGTGCAAAAACGAGCTATCAAGCTGATCAATGACCCCGCACTTACTCGTAACTTGGATGGTCTGGAACATCGCAGATCTGTGGGCGATTTATCTCTCTTCTACAGGTACTATCACGGAAAATGCTCTGAAGAGTTGGCACGTATGATTCCACCGAGAGTAGCACCTACCAGGCGAACCCGTCAAACAGACGGTAACCATGAATTTACTGTCAAACTAGAGGCACCAAGAACCTCATTATATCAGAATTCATATCTCTGGAGAACAGCATCGCTGTGGAATAAACTCCCTGCGACGGTTTTCCCTGCAGGTTACAACCTGAACCGTTTCAAGACCAACACACACCGACATTTCCGCGCACTTGCCGCTTCTCGAGCGTGATAGGACATTTCCTTGCGAGTGCGCATATCCGTAAAAAAAAAAAAAAAAAAAAAATGACATTTTTCTTAATTTTCGTTCAAATATTTTTGTTTTTTTATGTAGGTAGGTTTTCTTTTCTACTTAAAATATAATTTGAAAACAAAATTTGGACAAAACTCGATTTAAAAGTGGTACATTAGGACGTAAAACGATCTGTAGAATCCAAAAAACAAAAAATATACAGGGTGTGCCGTTTGAAAATCGAAAGTTTCGGTAATTTCCGGTGAAACCGGAAGTCAGAAAAACTTGTCGTGAATGCACAAAAATGACGATTCGTTAGAATATCAAGCCTACCAAGTTTCGTTGATATCGATGAACAACTAAAAAAATGGCAGCCGGAAAGTAATCTCGTGGGCAGCCGGTATACAAATAATGTATTCGGGCATTTTTGCTAACTTTCATTTATACTCGGTTCCAATGATTGCTCAGAGTGAGTTTAAGGTTGTCTTACCGCAAAATAAATTCTTGCTGAAAAATAAATTGCAGTACACATACTATGGTCAAGAATGTCCAGAAATTATCCAGAAATTCAATAATTGTGGAAGAGAAGACATTCATGAAATCCAAAGAGACAGCCCATGCGAAATTAAACTAGTAGAATCTGACAAAAATACCTCCACCTGAGAACAAACCGAAGTTAAAGTCCCGCAAATTATCATCAATCAATTGGACGATTCCAATCAATGGATATTGGTCGTTCCTGTCAAAGAAGCCATCTAATTCAAGGAAGTACAAAACATCATGGGAACATTTATGCTTCAAATACCAATTGGTTGTTAAGTGGCCACCGCTGATGCCATGATGCCGACCCTCAATTTAAGTCGACATCTAAAATATTTGAAATTAGACGACCTTCACCAATTGAGCAAAGAAGAAATGGACATACGCCCACAACTGAGTTTCACCGAAATCAATAGAATACCCAGCCTTGGGACAATCCTTATATATGTCCTCATCGTTATTGCCTGTATCTTCTTGGTTTACATGAAATATGTAAAAGCCGAAGAAGGAAGGAGTTATATCGCGTCTATTTGCTGAGTTTAAAAGGCTTATTTCTCTTTTCAGTTTATTATAAATGTATGTTTTTTCCTAGGATAGTCAGTCAGTTGAAATTAATTATAATTGTAACATTTATTGTAACAAGCTTTCGCTAGTATAAATTTTCGGATTGTTAATAAAGTAATTTTTAAAAAACCAACCCTCGGTTTCTGACTTGGTAACTCACTTTTCAGTAGTATCTACTGAACAACCTCTAATAAATTATATATCATTCGATTCAGCAGAAAATTCTGAGCATTTTTTATCTGAAACTTTTTTCTGTATAATTTATAATTATAAAAAGAAAAATGGTTAAAAAAAAAATAATTAAAAAAAAAATCTTTTTTTTTCAATTTTTGGGGAAACTTTCTTTTATTATTGAATATTTGTGGTTGAAACAATTTTTTTAATAAATTATAGACTTTTCCAAGTAATTTCTTTTTTTGAAATAGAAAATTGATCAAATAATAATGGAGATACGAATTTTTCAAAAATTGCTCCATCCGCGATCTTGAGGTGGCTGTTTTTCGGAAAAAAATAATTTACAGAAATGCCAACATACCATTTGGTAATCTAGTAGTCCCATATTTTCATAAAATAAAGCATTTTCAAACTTAGCACGAGATCGAAGCGAGCGGCCGTTTTTGAGCCCTATGATAATAGACTATCAAAAGAATCGAATGTTAGGGATTTTAGAGAGAAAAAAAAAAGAGTTGCTGTTACAAGTTTTTATTGTGACACCAAATGGAAATTCGAAAAAATATGAGGCCACATTTTTAGAATTCTTATTCCTCCACTTACAAAATTAGATTAAAGCTGCTATTCTTGAAAGGATGAAGTGTTGGGCATTGAGAAATATATCATAATTAAACAAAACAATTTTATTTCAAAATCCAATACATCAACAACAAAAAATTACCAACCATGATAACCACCATGATGATGTCCACTATCAATCACCACAGGATAAGGTACTTTATTTTCAATATAAACTGGGTAGGATTCTTTAACAACTTTTAGATTCTCAATTTCAATAGGATACGGTTTGGGTACCGCGTAGGGTACTTTCACTGCATACGGCACGTGAATTGGCACCTTGACTGGAACAGCGACGGTCCTGGTGACTGGTACTTGGACGGTTTTGGTAACTGGTACTGGATAAGGTTTCAGTACTTCAACCGGATATGGTTTGGATACTGTCACTTTGTATGGGACCTATAACCAGGAAATGTAATTTATTTTATTATACAAAACCCCTTAAGATCTCAAGTCCCTTAAGTTGCAAGAAACGAGGTTCTGACAATAATATAACTACTACCATCTTGCTCAATGTGATTTGATTAAAGATACATTTTGGCTTTTCCTATAATACTCACTTTAATCGGAATAGTTTTAACTACAGGATACGGTTTCGGAATGTATACAGGGTAAGGTTTAGGAACAGTGACGATCTTGTGAAATCCTCGTTTCAATCTCTGATGTAATTGGACATCAGCATCGGGGTTTCCGAGGACTACGACTGCCATTAGACTAATGACGACCTGAAATAAAATATCCAAGTAGTTGTAGTGCATTTTACATTTACAGATTCACAACCAAATAAAAGCACAATATTCTGCTACAAACTTAAACTTGTTTTTTTTTTTTGATAATTGAAAATTTCGTTTTCGTTAAAAAAATATTCCTATTTCATTAAGTATTCCACTTACTAAGACCTTCATTGTGCCTGAACAAATAACCCGCCGTACACTAAGTTTATTTAGCGTCAGAAATTATCTTATATAGAAATGTCCCTTCACCTTTTGATTATTATTATTATTCAACAAGTTCTTTCTCCGAGGGAGCGTCTACTTAATTTGTTTTTATCAGTTTTTTTTTAGTGCGAAACAATTTGTCGTTGTATCGAATATGAACTAATTTACTTCCGGCTTCAAAGAGTTTTCACATATAATATGAGCCATTATTTGTTTTGATTTATGCATACAGTTTGCAAGTAAAATAACTCGTTGGCAACAACTCAACATCGATATTGCAGCTCTAAGCGAAACGAAGGAGGCTATATGTTTTTCTGGAAAGGAAAGAAATAGAATGAACTTCAGATCCACGGAGTGGAAAAAATCAGTATTAATTGCAAGATAACAAAAAAAAAAAACTTAACTAAAACTAAATTAGAAAAAGAAGAAAAAAGGTTCAAAAAAGTTGTCTCTGCAGTAGAGTTAGGCATGTGCTCTCACCAACTCTTAAACAATTAAACTAATAGGGCTATTATGATGAATATCGCAGATACCACAGAGCGTCTGTCATTCAAACGAGGTACCAGAATGCTAATATTAGACAAAAGGAAAGGACAATCAATTATATTGTGGAACAAATTGAAAAAAAATTTAATCAATAATATTTTCATCTAATAAATAAAGATAACTCGTCAAAACGAATGAGCAAAACACTGTTGTCACATCCTCTCCCCGAATACACTCCGTTACACAAACCTGTTTAAAACCAACAGAAGAGCTAAATTTATTAATGAATGCTTACAAAAAAAAAACAAGATTTTCAGGAATTTGCGTTGAACCGACTTAACCGAGCTCACATGACATGTATATATAGGGTTCCAAATGATGTTCCCATAATCTAGTGTTGAACGTACAAAGCAGTAATACAATAATTTAATAGTGGATTCGTTTCTAAAGTCTCGAGAGTTTCTAATTATAGTATCCATGATATCCATCCAAGGAAAGAAGAGACACGCACTCATGAGTGTAGATCTGGAGAGCCAGAAAGGCCGAGCGGTCTAAGGCACTGCGTTCAGGTGGCAGTCTACTTTTAAGCAGGCTCAGCAGGCATAGAGATATTAGGCAAAAGAAGAGATCAAATCATTATGGATCTTAGTGGAAAACTAAGATATAGACGAAGAAGAGAAGGTGGAGCGTCTTGGTAGTCAAATGCAGTGTTATAAAATTGCCTCGAGAGCCCGACCGGATTCTAAGAAATGCAATCGTCTGCGCGTCACGTAAATAATTCAGAGAATTCTATTCAAGGTTTTTCTAGATAAATCCTGAGTACACTGTTCTGCTGTCTGCTATAATTAGCGCGAATTAGTGAAGTGAGTTTTAGTGAATGGAATCCGTGAGAGTATTAATAAATAAAAAAAAAAAAAACAAAACATGAAAGCAGTTAGAAGGAACCTATAGGAGATACATTTTAAAACTTCAGATGATAATAAAGAAAAAGATGCAACAGACAGGACTATACTAGAAATAATGGTAAGCTTCCATAACAAGCTGATAAGAAGTTATAACTGTACTAATTTATTAACCCTATTTCATTGCTGAAACTAGTGCATAATATAGCCATAAACAATTATTGCCCATTAGTTATACTGTAGGAAGGTATCGAAATCTATATATTATATTATTCTACTAAAGATATTTGATCTATTTAAACTGATTTATTACGTAACTTTATTTATTATTTTCTTTGCATGAGTACCTATTATATAAAAGCAATAATTGACTTTCTTTTAAAAGATATTGGGTTGCATCTGTTAATGCAGTGATAGTAAAAGTACCTATCTATTTGTTTAGTCTGCTGCTTTTTTAGAAGAGGGATTAAATAATAATTAATATATGCACAGACAACTAGGTGATTAACGTCAGATTATTCTGTTTTTTTTTTTTTCAATTTTCGCCTTTGGGGTTTGATATTTTGAACGCTAGAAAATCTATAACATCAAATTTAGTTCTATTTTATATAAAATTTGAACAAAAAAAACTAAATCCATGCTTGATTTTGTAAAGAAATATTAAAGGTATAATCGATGTCTGAAAGTTTTTCATTCCTAAAAAATCATCCAGGTATTGTTTTCAATCAACTTTCCTCGTTCAAGAGCCAGTTATATTATTTTCTTATTGGCTTCCGAGAATCTTACTTCTATTAGTAGTATAGTAGTATCTTAAATTGAAAACCTACCGCCCTCGAAAAACTATCTGTTTAAAACATTCATAGCACACACTAGAAATCAGTATTTATTTTATGAAACCGGGATACGGAATGTACCGTTGATGAGTAGGTACTTATTACTTACCCACTTATGATTTTCTTAAGACACTCGTCTTCTTGAAACCCATTTTCCATCTGTTTTTTGCATTCTAAAATACCTACATAGAGTCTTCCAATATTTACTTCGTGATTTTTGATCAAATTAAGAAGTTTTGTTTATGTTGAAATTTCAAATTTTGAGATTTTGAATCTGAATTATGATTTTGACTCCATACTGTAAGTCAATGTGAGATTAAGAGCTGAAATATTTGAAACAAAAAAGCAGCAGAAATTTTGAAGAACATGTTTCGATTTTGCTTCAAATTATACTTATACCGGCACGAAAAACGTCCCACCCCGGTTTACTCAGGTGTTAGGTGATTAATCAAAAATCGCTCGGACACGTGCATTTTGGTTTTTTAGTAGGGGACACATTTCACCCCCTACCTGTCAACCCCTAAGCGGAGGAGATAGGTACCTCCAAAATTTCAAATAGAAAGGGGGGTCGAGTGATATGTCATTTGGTAGCTATTTTTATTAAGATTATATCCCCAAAGTTTTGAGCTGCTACTATTTACCCTATCGAAATGGCGGCTTGTCAAAATTAGGAGAAATGCTTTTTTCCGAGTATCTGAACTGTGTGTTTTTTATCACATAATAACAAAACAACTGATTTTTTATGTGTACCTATCCATAGTAGGTAATAAAGTAGAATTCGTATTTAATTTAAATATTGTCATTCAACAGTTCAGTTTAAAATGGTTCATGCTTATTCACATGAAAAATCTGTTGTTTTGTTATTAAGAGGTAAAAACCACACAACTTTGACAAGCCGCCATTTCAAAAGGGTAAATAGTAGCAAATTGAAACTTTGGTCTTAATAAAAATAGCTATCAAATGACGTATCACTCGACCCCCCTTTCCATTTGAAATTTTGGGGGTACCTGCTTAGGGATTGACGGGTCAGGGGTGAAAATACCAATAAAATGTGTCCCCCAAAAAACAAAAAGTGACGTGTCTGAGCGATTTTTGATTAGTCAACTAACACCTGATAAAACCTGGGTGGGAAGTTTTTGGTGCCCCACCCTGTATATGATGGTCATTTAGGACTGCCTAAATTCAATATTGTGAATCATTGTGAGATTTTAAACCGAAATGTTTAAGAAAAAGAGTGAATGAAGTACCGCGAAGATATTTTTCCGAAAAACTTTAGGAACGAACGGTCTTGGTGCACCCAAGCTCATGTCACATGCAAGCCACTTGTTATGAAATGGAAGAAAAACCAATTCAAAAACTTATCATGTGTCGTCAGAAGACATAAGTTTTGGTATTTCTGGGTCTACTGTTTGTGCTTCTCCAAAACTGTTAAAATCTATATGGTTAATAGGGCCGATCCTAGCAGGTGTGCAGCGCGTGCCCCCCACGCGGGCGGGCAAATCTAGGGGCGGCCGCAGGCCGCCTATAATTCTGTCATTTAAGATTCAAGTAAAACTTTTTACGAATTTCTGAAAATAAAAGTACTTCTAATAAAGAAATAAGCTGAACTTTAATAAATTCTTGAAAAATGAAAATATACCCCGATCTCCTGATATAGCATAAATAGAAAGTTTAGTGCACAGTCAATGTGTAGGCTCACGCATAATATTTAACTCTTTACACATCCATCATAAGATTGCATAATTTTTAATATTTCCTAAATACTTTTGGACTAACCGTCCAACAGAACTAGATGAATACTCTAACAATACTATCAACTTTTTTGGTACATATAGTATTTCCAAACTCAATTGGAACAAGATACCAACTGGTGACTGACTAGTCACTGAAAATTTCTATAAGAAATGCACTGCCACTAGTCAGCCACCAGTTATTATTTATGTTCACCTTGTTCCAATTAGCTTTAGAAAAACTATACCAAAGACTTCCAAGTGCAGGTGAGTATGTTACGTAGGTAAGTATTAGGACTAGGGACTGGGGTGTCTTGTTTTGCCACAGGGTCCTATTTTTCACTTTCGTACCCACGCCGAAGCCCAGGCCCTACTTAGTTTTAGGATAGTGTTTGTAATTATTGATCACCACTCACCCGAATTCAAACAACTCATAGAAAACATGTTCCAAACAAACTAAACGCCCAAAAACGTTCATTTTAAGGCTCGAAATGAACGCTTTTGGGCGTGGCACCCCAAAAAAAATTTCGAGTCCACTGTTTAAGTATCTCCTCTTTGTATGTTTCTTCGCATAGCACTGGGTAATCTTTGCATGATATATTCAGCGGTGTATAATATATATGTGCCATGGTTATCGCTTCATGCAATGAATAAGATTTGTTGTAAAAACATCATCTTAAGGATTTTATTTTCCTGACATGTAATAAATTAATATCCATAATTCCTCTACCTCCCTTTCTTCTTTGTATTATGAGCCGGTCCTTGTAGGCATTGGGATGATCGTTTCTGTTTTTGGTTAGTTCGCTATTTGTAACCTGGTGTATTCTGTCCAAATC